AACTACTGATCCATTAATCAATTCTTATTGGTATAGTCGATATATGATAGCTAATAATTATATAATAGTAGTTAAGTTCATTATCTTCCATCAATACAATGGATCAGTTTAAGCTGACTTACCCATGCAAGGGCAGTATATAAGGTATCCATTAGGATCATTAGGAGGAATTAAACTAGCAGGGCCGAATTCAACTTTTCCTGGAACTTCGAATGGATCGGTTGCTTGCTGATCACACACCGATATACCAAGCAATAGTGAAATAACCGAAAGCCAGTAAATCATGGTACACAATGAACGTCTTTACCAGAAAGTCTACAGCTATTCAATATTTTTAAATCGTAGCAATTAATATTCTTATGTGAATGACTGATGCAGTTGCAGACATTACTATAATTGAGAAGGCCAACAAGTCAGTGGTTGGATCTTCTTTAATCTGTCGTTTTTGACAGTAAACTGATTACATATGAAGTTCCTCTATTTCGGACTATCGCAAATGTAGTTCAGTAAAGTAGAATAAACTGGCTAACAATGGACGTACTTTGATACATCTCTTTATTAAACAAACTTATCATTTTGACTTTAATCTAGCAGATTATACCGACTTCGGTCTAATACCGATACAAATACGTGTCCGAAATTAATTATTGCAATGTAGTTCAATAACGCAGAATAAAACAGCTGGCAATGCAAGCACTTTTATGCAATCTCTGAGAAATATGCTACTTTAATTTTACTTTAGCCTAACCAAGTGTACTAACTTTCGTCTAACATCGATGTAATATGTGTCCTGGAATCAAATAAAGCGTCTTCCAACATTACGTCAAGATAAAAATTTTGAAAAAACTTCACATTAACCTTGATACATACGATATAAGTAAGTTCGTCGGCAGAATTACCGTATCAAGGGTTGTATTACTGTATTTACATTCAGTCTAAAATTACTTAACTTATTACAACAGAATCTAACCGTCAACTGTATAAGTAAGTATCATAACCTTAATCTTATGCTATTTGAGAGCTGCATTACAAGAATTATAATTTTTTTGTAAAGCTTCACATTATTGCATCTCGTCAACTTCTGTTAATATTCTGTGTATTATGTTAATTGTATTCTACCGATATACCATAGGTTCGTCTGTTGAATTATAGTACCAAGGATTGTTTACCTTCAGTCTAAAATTATCCAATTCTCAATTAATCTTATAAGCGAATCTTACGATGTACGAGTATATGTTATAAACGTTAATCTCAAGCTATTTGCAGACTGTGCGACAGTCCTATATATCGAGCTACTTCATTTATAGTTCAATAAAAATAGAATAAAATGGTTAGTAATGTAAATACTTTTATGCATCTCTTAGAAACTATAACCATTTTAATTTTAACCTAGTACGCTATTAACTTAGGCTTCATCACCGATGCAAATACACATCCTACATGTCCAACCATCGCAAACGTAGTTCAACTAAAGCAGAATACGCAACAAATGGCTAACAAATGGCTAGCAATGCAAGTGCTTCTATACATGTCAGAGAAAGCTCTCCTTTTAATTTTAACCTAGCAAATTATACTAGTAGGCTTTGATTTTTGGTCCAATCATCGTAAATGTAGTTCAATTAAAGCAAAATACGCAACAAATGGCTAGCAATGCAAGTGCTTCTATGCATGTCCGAGAAAGTTTTCCTTTTAATTTTAACCTAGCAAATGATACTAGTAGGCTTTGCTTTAAAATCATGCATATAAATAGAAAGAAATGCTGCTATAGAGACCATCGACGTACATGAACTATAGAGTCTGCAGCACTTTACTTTAGAGATCCGATGTAAATAGTAGCCATTACAATCGATCCTCCAGTATCTGGTGCCTTACCTTGAATAAATTAGTCGTTGTATTGAAGGATTGCAACTAGATTTTGGTTAATTTCAGCCGTTTATGCCTTAATATACTCAAAATATTCGCTGACAGTTAAAGCTAGCAACTTTTACCCCAAGAGTGATGGCCACGTTAGCAGCAAACCAGCAATGATGTTATGCATTACTAAATAGGAAATCTACAGACTACAGTACAGTAGAGTCCATTAGAATTCTAGGTCATGCACCGAACCATGGACTAACCTATATGAAATTGTCCCTAAAGATGGAGACTGCAGACTCATATCAGAATGACTGATTGTAAGCCATACAGTAGCATCGGAGTTGCCAGTGCCGTATAGGGCACACTACTCAACTCAGTATAGTCAAGTGTTGATTTATTTATTATAGGGAAATAAGTCGTTCCTATTAAGGAGCGCTAGCTAAATGCCTGGAATTAGGCTAGAAGTAGGCAACTTTAGCACTTATGGCTTATATGGATTGATTACTCATTAATGAATTATACTATAACCTGGACACTGTACTACTACTAGCCTAAATTAGACGATAAACAACTATAGTGCTAGTTGAATTAGATAGCCTTAATACTTATGGAGCTTACTCATACGGATGCGCTTTGGATTGACTATGTAGCTAATGATAATTATGCATTAGAGTAATGAATTGCGTTATAACTCAAATTGTACAATAGTCTCAATTGATACCATAAACGACTATAAGTATTCGGCTAGAAGTAGGCAACTTTAGCACTTATGGCTTATATTGATTGATTACTTATTAACGAATTATACTATAACCTGGACACTGTACTACTACTAGCCTAAATTAGACGATAAACAACGATAGTGCTAGTTGAATTAGATAGCCTTAATACTTATGGAGCTTACTCATACGGATGCGCTTTGGATTGACTATATAGCTATTGGTAATTATGCATTAGAGTAATGAATTGCGTTATAACTCAAATTGTACAATAGTCTCAATTGATACCATAAACGACTATAAGTATTCGGCTAGAAGTAGGCAATTTTAGCACTTATGGCTTATATTAATTGATTACTTATTAACGAATTATACTATAACCTGGACACTGTACTACTACTAGCCTAAATTAGACGATAAACAACGATAGTGCTAGTTGAATTAGATAGCCTTAATACTTATGGAGCTTACTCATACGGATGCGCTTTGGATTGACTATATAGCTATTGGTAATTATGCATTAGAGTAATGAATTGCGTTATAACTCAAATTGTACAATAGTCTCAATTGATACCATAAACGACTATAAGTATTCGTTATATCGCTAAGGGTGGCCACTGGGCCTTTCAATTTTGATTTGATGTAATACTCAGATGAAAATTGAATAAACATAGAATCTTTATAGAGTTTTCTACACAGCCATTTTGATTGTTACATTTTTTTATAACGGTAGTTATTGCGTTTGCAAGCAAACGCAAGCGATCTTTAGACACATTATAATGATTGGTATAGAATTGATCACAGTACTAAGGACATTGTGCCGCACTGTAGATATCTTACAGTAACTGCTAATCTTAACTTGGTATGTCCATCACCGTACATTAGTTATCATAATGTGCTTTGGACCATTAACTAATCTTAATATAGCATAGTACATTACTATTACCGGGATATATATAATATCGAATAATAACACTATCTGTTAATTTTATTAACAAATTGTGCATAAACGTATATTTGACAGTTTCGCTTACCAGCCTTAACAAAGCATTAATACTATATATAGTAACCATCCTTATTCGGCAAACATACTAATACGAAAGTTACTTAACGAAATTTGAATTGGTATAGAAATGAATGATCTCTAGGGTTTATGTGAATATTATTGAGAAGGTATTAGTGATAGATACACATCAGTAGGTACTATGAGTTCTATTGCTCTCATGCAATCCGTAGTGTTACCCTATTGTAGTTCCCCTGTCCCGGTTATTTATGATTGCCATATATCATAAAATAAAAAAGTTTCTAAGAGGATAATATTAGTTAGTCACCGATCTGATAGGCGAAAGCGAAGTGAACAAGGCGGAAATGCACGATCAGTGTACATTAAATCAATCTCTAAGTAATATCAGGAATTCTGAAGTAGATAGTACTCCTAGAGATCAGAATCAGTCAGCAGGTTATCTTAGGAGAAATTATCATCATCGCCAATTACATCGAATAGGAAGATTAGGTGATATTGACTCCATAGCAACAATCGATGATTTGGTGATGTGCGAATACAGTAGTTTATACCCATATCTAGCAATAAATTTCATTTATACATTATCGTAAACAGTCAGCAAAGCGACGGGAGTTTGTACTAGTACTAATTAAATTAGATAGCCTTAATATTTCTGTAGCTTACTCATATGGGTGCGCTTTGGATAAACTATATAGCTATTGGTAATTATACACTAGAGTAATGAATTGAGTTATAACTCAATCTGTACAACAGTCTAAATTGATACTATAAACGACTATAAAGCCTATAGTAGAGTTCAACCTAACTGCATGGATAGGCAAATTGCAGTAGATGAGTTCCTATGAAAACATTCGAAATTATACTTTGCTTGAATTGATCATATTTAGTATCGAATTTTTATATAAAACCTAATTTTCATACTCTTACAATACTATAATATACTCGAGTATACATATATAACATAACATATATATATATTAAACTCCTAACGACGATCAGGGATTAAACGAACAATTTTTTCTAAATCGTCTATATGTCCATTATTAGCTAGTTGGTATCTGGTATCAGATCGTGTTATTACTATATTGATATTCGCAAAATACAGAGTTATTACAGTACATAATGATTAAATTATAATCATACAATTAACTAATTATATATGTAATGGAATGATGATCATTCTTGACGATAGATGTACGTAACTAGTATATACTTTATATACTAATAAATTTAATAAAGCTAATTTGTCCTATAATTGTTCACTTTTCCTTAAATCAATAATTGTAGTACAGTATATGAGTAAATTAGTAACATAATCGCAATCTAATCCGTCGGCTGGTTAAGAATAGTCTCATTTTCTTCCGGAAAACTGAAAGCACTAATCACCGTATTACAAGAAGGAGTCCCAGAAGGATGCCGAAGAATGGATGTTCCCTATTAGTACCGCAGAAATTAATAGACAAATACAGCCAATAATACACTAGAAAATCTTAAATATGACTTCAGGACATAAACATCATCACTAGTATTATAAATTGATGTCAACACTAGAAAATAGTGTGTAGATAATGATGAATATATGAGGACTGTATTAATTGATAGAGTACAATTAATTTCTTCGGTAGAAATACTTACAGTATACAAGCGTTGTAAGCCAATATCATCTAGAATTGATTGAATAAAGCATATATTTATACGTTACTGTAGTAACCTTCATATCAATAATAGTATGATATAAGTACCAAATTCATCAAAATAACTTACCGTCATTATCCATGGAGATGCTGCTAGCTCGTGCATGCTGTATTTCATGATCGGCCATAGCAAAACTAGTAACATTGGTTTTCTTTCTTACAGCCTAAGATAGATTAGAATGGAAAAGATAAACTTAAAAAGGATAGTAAAGTCATATTAGGAATACTAAGACTAGCTTCTTACAATGGCCGCGCATAAGATAGTTTCATTACAGTACAAAAAATAAAATATACTGTACGCTATGCTTAACCGTGTAAACATTCGTACCTTCAACATCGATGGACCGCTGCTGGATTCATATCTAAACTTATTGGCACGACGAAGAAGTGTAGATCGAATCTATGGATATTACAACGCATTTTTATGTTTTAAGAAAAACAGCGATAATCATGCAATATCAACTTTACTACTTTATGTGGCAATGGAAGATAATCTCAGTGAATCAGATGCCTGTACAACAGCACAAATTCTATACGGTACCTCTGTATTCAGAAGGCAGTGCATGATAAAGAAGGAAACTCCCTATAATTTATAACAAAATGAATCCATCTAAATATATATATATCTGACTCATAATAATTTCATTTTTCTCTTATTTTATTGTAGCCAATAATTATCATACGTTCTTAAAACTATTAGTCTTAATTACCATTTTAAAACTTACCTGTAATCCGTTAAATATAACAAAAAGATAACTAAAAAATATTGTATTAGCATCAATTGAAAGTATTCCAAACAGCCAAGTTAAACCCAAAATTGGTAGTAAAACAGCAATCGCTTTAGCACTAGATCTATGGAACAACATTAGAAGGCGTACTATAGAGTAAATCATGTCATTCAATTTTAATAAACTGCTTACATACAGTAATAATATCAATAGAATACTAGTACGAAAGTTGCACCTTTAACCGTAAATCAATTTACTGTAACTAGTGTTTATTTTCAAAATAAATTATACATTTGACCGAAAATTAGACCATACGTTGGAAGTTATTATGTATAATCTTACTTAAAACTTTTCCAACGCCCTATACTCCTGGCACTGACTTGGAAAGCTGCTTTTGATGCAGCGATACGAATCACGATCAGTAAAATAATGAAATTAACCTATTGGATGGGTAATACGAGTATACAATAAGAAAAAATAAGATTTAACATATTTCTTACTTTTAAATATTGCAATTTTTATAGAATCCATGACAGTGTAAAATCTATTAGCAAGTGAATAATAAAGACAGAACTAAGAAACATACAGCAATAATTGCTATTGCGGGACCAACAAACGCCCAAATTAGTCCACTATTAATGGATAGCCAGCATCTATAGTAAATTATTGGAATAATAAGTTTTACATATTTATCTTAGATACTACTGGGAAAACAACAAGTAGCACTAATTGCTACAGCAAGAAACATACATTTTATTGATGCCATAATATTCTAAGCGTAATCCTACAGATACAGATACGATAACGGTGGGGATTCCTAAGAGGAAGATTAAATGTCCGTATCGATCAGCTATATTCGTACAAAGTCTATCATGAAGTACTTGAATCTGCTTAAAATTTTTATAAGTTATCAAACGTAATCTATCAGGGGATCTGGCAATTGTTTGTAATCAATGACAGCACTTAAGTTATAGTAGACGGCTTATAAATCAAGATTTATCTAATAACGTAAAGCGTATTCTATAGCTACAGAAACAAGCATGGAAAATACATTCAAGTAGATTATACCCTTAGAATCCTTGTAATCATTTTTTTAATTTTACAGCTACTATTAGCAAAAATTTCCTTTTCTAGTATTACGAACAAATCACAAGCGATTGGTATGGATATATTAACTAAATTATTGACATCTATAGGAAAATTGATTTATTTTAATTGAAATTTTATAGCCTATTTTCGTATCGATTTAAATTTTATTGAAAAATTTGTTAATTCTAAAGTAGTCATAATAAATAGTTAAAAACTTGAAGCATAAACAATTTTACGCACTTTAAAAATTAGTAAAGATATCAGGATAAATGAACTTACCCCACCCTAATATATAATACCAGCGCAACTTTGGTTTAGTGGTATAAACGGTTACAATTTGAAAAAAAAGATGAAAACCTTCGGCAAGCATCCACGAAAAGATAGCAGAAAACAGAAAGTGCAAGACGATCGCCACGATTTTACAAAGAATCTGAAATTAGATGGCAACAACAGTTCAGTTATGGCTTAATTGATACTTTACGTGGCATATTTTCAACTTCTACTATATTTAAGATGTGAACTGCAAATTCAAAGAAAGTAAAATATCTAGGTGACGTCTTAAACTTTATATAGGATCATAACTCAACATGTAATAAAAATTTGCAGCTAACTAAAAAATAAGCAAATATTATAACTTTTCCTTTGAATCTATCAATGTATCAAAAGCAGTTTAAAGGAAAATTGAAAGTGTTCAATAACAGCTATAATCTTGCACATAATTTAAGCCAAAAGTAATACTAGAAATTCAACTAAGATTTACAATACCCCTGAAAATAATTTGCAGTGTTAGTACCGGTAGTTAGTAATTTTACTGTATATCTGGATTGTTACAGCGAGATATGGGCACTTAAGTTAACTACAACTGTAAAGGAAACATAATTTAATTAAAATAGAAAATAGAAGAGTACAGTATTAGCGAATGGATCTTTTACCTCATGATTAATAAATAAATCACTTAATAGGATAATGCATTGAGATGAGACTATAGCGACGACTAAATTGAAGTGAATATGTAGTCTTTCTGAATTCAATCTGTGTAAATAAAATGATAGATAAAATGGGTAAGAAAATATGAAGCGGTATAAAAAATGTGATCCGGAGAAAGGATGCAATGAATTTTATACATAAGCATCCAGAAATGGACCTATAATAGGATACGGTTAATCTTAGTTATCCTATTCATTTTTAACTAAAATGGAATCGAACTTTGTTAATGACAGGAAAACAATGGACATCAAAAGCGCGACCATGGAAGAGCCACAACATATCTGTGTTAACAATGTGAGAGTCTTGGTATGTTCATCGGAGATCTATTAAGATAATTGATCAACTAAAGATACTGTCGATCTGGATTTCAACGTTCAACATAAGCATAATGTTTAACAGTAAGTTCATTTTAGTCTACATTATAAGGAATGATATAGCTACAGGTAGTGAATTAATAAACTACGACAGCCATTGATATAAATGACTCAGTTCTACTTTCTACTTCTCCTTTTTTTAGTATTGCCATGAGAATTCATTTTATTTTAATCTTGATTAACCTTAACAGTTGAAACCCTCATTAACATTGCAAAGTGAGTAAGATGGCTGCACTTGCATTGGACATGAGTTTTATTGGAATTGCCTACTACACAACCAAAATCGGACCAATTGCTAAAATAAAATTATACAAATTGCAGTCACATAAATAAATCGTTTTAGCAACGATTAGTCATAGTCTCATAAAATTGAACATGATTTATGTTGCTAATGACCATAAAAATCCATGGAGCCACTATAACATTTTACTATATAAACCTTTTCTAAAAGTTTGATACAATTATTTCTTAACATATCCAAATCAGTCTTCCACATGTTAAAATTAAACTGTCAATTCGATTATTTCGCAAAATCTTAACTTCAACTTCTTATTAGGGTATTACATTAAATCAAGAATTGAACATTTCTAGACACCTTTCAGTCAAAGCTACAAATCTTTTCAACAATTTGAATTATAGAGTCATACTAATTTCACAAACAGTAAGGCTTAAGTACTGTAGAATTACATTATAATCTTTGATACTTATTCAGCAAATTGAGTAAAGTAATATGATGGATTTTACAGTACTTAATCAACATTCGTCCAAGTATGACGATAAATTACCGTATCGGCAATAGGTTTCACATATTTAATAATAATCAATATGAAATTACCCATTTTGAAAGTCCCAAAAGACACATGAAGGTTTATAATTCGAAGAGTAATTGGTCTAAATACAAATAGTTATAAAAATAGCTTTATAGTTTAGATTAAAATTGCAGATTTTATAGGTTATAGCAAAAAAATTTTCAAACTACGGCAATACCATATCAATCTCATTTCTACTGAATTACGTTCGAAAGCAACATACAGTTTCGATTACGTAGTTTTATACTAAATACTGCATAAGATAATCCAATAAATAGGAAACATACCTGTTGATAGGGTAAAGTATAAGTAAAAGGTTGCGAATGATTAAGTTGAGCTGGCGGATCCATAGAACAGCCAATAACCATGGAATTAATATAGCCATCGCTATCAATCGCCCCTTGGCTAGCATAAAATAGAAAAGCGTTATGAAAATAGTTTAATTAATCCCTATTCTGCAGTAGAATAATAGATTTATTTTCTACTCTTCCACTGGTTTACCTGGTTGTAGGCGTTTTCTCCTCATTTGTGATATATTGTAAAGCGGAAAATTTGCTAATTGCTATAACTGGTGCATTGGCTAGGAGCGGATTAGTAAAGTTAAGATACATTCGAAATGCTCGAATTATTGACATTATATAGCTAAAGCAATTATTCAAGTGTATAGTAGTAAAGCTAGTAAGCAATAGAAATCTCCAAAGCAACAACATTGATTCTATTTTATAGTGTAAAGTCTACGGCTTGGTCCTCCATTAAATGTGCTTAAATATATCTCTGAAATACGATAGCGGTTGCTAGTTTACAAAGTGAAACAATTCTGGTTATACTCTATAAAAGAAACTTTCGAACTATAAAAATAAAATGGGTTCAAGAATTTTTTTTTCCATTACCGTTATTATTATTCCCAATCGCTGTTGCAGGTAGTGAAAACTGGTAGCCTTGGCTAGCTATCTTATAACCGGAACGTCTAAATTGATTTGAAGATACTTTCTCAACCTGGATAGCTAGATCGATTATATGGAATGTGTATTAGAAAATAATCATTCCCAGGAAGTAGTTTTGTTTTTACTGCTAGGATTTTGTGTCTGTTATAAACCCATAAACGTACTCATTTCCGGGGTTTTGGTAGTGAAAATTTGGCCTTCTAATAAATTATTAGCAACTTTTTTAGCCATGTCATCCGTTAACTTTAAAATGACCGATGTTGGAGAAAAATTCTATGGATAGAATTGACATTTAATGAGACATGCATTACAAAATAATTTTTCATCAAAACTTATCCTACTCCCATCGAGGTATATGCTAATATTTGTAGCGAGAAAAAATCAATATGGATAGAGGTTATCAATTTCTATTTCCATGTATAACCTCATCCCTTTGGATCATTCTTTTTATTTTAGTAATTAATAACGCCGAAAGAGAAAAAAATCACTATTGTATAGAAGATATGTATCTTACTTAATATTTTGCTATAAAGGGCTCATAGCTAGCAAATAGGTAATAAAATCAATTAGTACTAAAACTATTTCGATCTTTTCAATTCGGTCCTACGTACTGTAACGATTATATCGAGAATAACTAACCTTATTAGCTGATTTCCATACGCTAGCCTTGTCCTTTGATGTTAATGAACCAATAACGGTGAAGTATTTCTATCATATGATGAAGAATGGAGTTTAAAAGGACACTACTATATTTAGATCTAATTTCAAAAAGATACCCATATTAGCGGCCATTCTCTACCTGAAAGTAAATTGTCTTCTCATCGCTACTGGCGTTATTAAGATTAACACTCTTCGATAATGCCGATAGAGCGTTTTTAGTAGCAATCAAATCACCACTATTAACATTATTATCCGTCTGAAAAGCACTTTGCAATTTTGTCAAGATTCCCGAAGCATTGTCAACAGACTGAACTTTTCCAGCGTCTACAATCTGAAAATAAGCAATAATCAGTTTGCTATCATAAATAATCAATAACGAAATTACTGAAATGCTCTTTCATCGATATCTATCTACGGATAAATATCTATTCGATATAGCATGAAGTAAGGAAGAAGTTATCCTCTGGCGTCTTCGATATAAAGGGATACCCATAACCAATGATTATATGAATTTAATTTAGATTCAGATTTCTTTCTAGTTATCAGATAATCGAACTGAGAGATCCATGTCATAAAGAAGTTAAAATCATCACATACATCAGAATAGATGAATTGAAATTTCGCCGATAATTCTGTCTTGTTAATTACCTCTATTAAAAATTGGAAATTATTTAAATAAAGCCTTTTTTAGTCATGCTATAAAACACTTCTATAGGTAAAGAAGATCCCAAAATCAAAACCCTTAGAATAGATTATCAATTTGATCAAGTCAGACGTGCAATATATGCATAAATCCGGAAATTAAATTACATAGCAAAAATTGATAACTTTATAGCAAATTAACACCCATCTCTTAGTGAAGCAGTCTAAAATCGAATAGCACAGCATGGATTCGTAATTATATAATGTATTAATACCCCCTTTATAGGTGATTAGTATCTAAAGACTAAATTCTCTTGCCTAGACTATCGATACTACTGTCTATTAAGAATTAATTTTAGAACCGTTTTATAGGCAAAAAGATTCAAAGCTAATTTCCACACCAATGAGTATCGGTACTATTTTTAAATTATACGCGCACATTTATTGTTATCCGATGAATATCAAAAATCTATTTCACTGCATACCTGTAGTAGAAGTAAACGCTGTTGTACTTATTTCTGTCTGGATAGTGTTAACGGTCGTATACTGCGGCGGTGTCGTTGCTTTAGGCATCGAAGATGTTGCTTCTATGTTAAGATTTAAAGGATAGAAGTATTTCGATATACGTATAATAACATATTTCAAGTTAGTAGTTATACCCAATAGAAGATGGTGATAATTCTACGTAGAATTAATAGAAAAAATCACTACTAGTATTATATCACTCTACTTTTTTTGGATAAGCAATTAATCATTTCGAGTTAGACGTTATAGTTTACAGAGCTTTATCGTAATCTTATTTATGGTTTTGCTAATAACATCGTCAGTGGTAATATATTATGCTACTTTCAGATAAATGACAACTCACTTGGAGCTAACAGCTGTAATTTTTACTTATTGTCAAGGAACATCGCCAGTAGAGATATACCGATGCATTTTTTTAAATGATAGATAATTCATTTGGAGCAAATATAGCTGTGGCGTGCTAAGTATTATCAAAATTCTATATTATACCCCACTTATGACTTACTATATTTGATCCTGATATAACTTATTCAATAATAGTATCATGCTACTGGGAAACCTTGTAGTATGCTAAGTATTACCAAAATCTATGTTATATCGCTATTAATTTATTTTATATCTTATTCACATTTATGATTTACTACATTTGATCCTGATATAATTTATCCAATAGTAACGTCATACATACCACTGGGAGACCTTACCACATGTTAAGAAGTATTATCAAAATTCTATATTATCTCGCTGTTAATCTATTTTATATCCTATTCGTATTTATGATTTACTACATTTGATACTGATATAACTTATTCAATAGCAATATCATATTCCTGGGGGATTTTATTTACTACCACTGTGGCTTATACTTTAGAGGAAGAAATAACTAAGTACAACTTTTAATTCCAGTTCGTCTCCATTGTGACTTACTGAAAGTACTAGAGGTAGGACTTTCAGGTTTTAATGAAGGAGTGTTAGAAGGCTGACGAGGGGTAGCTTTAATTTCAGGTCTAGTTGCTAGCGTACCTCCTTCAAATGCATTTACGGATATTATAGGTAACATGAGATAGATCATTTGCATCATTTCTTAATATAAAAAAGGAATATTAGAATACGAATACGAAAAAACTTACTTGGAGTTTTCTGTGTTACTTTTACAGTCTGGGTAGATGGAATCTGTGTTGGCTGTTCGGTCGTAATAAGGGGTTGTTTGAATGATGCTGTTGATGTAGTTCGATTTATCGAGTCTGAAATAGTGCCATTAACGTGGTTGAAAGTCGAATATAGAATTACTATTCACTAAACAACCACTAATAGATCATTTCTCCTACCTGATGTAGAAATGAAATTTTTGCTTGAGGGTATTGGCGTAGTTACTATTGTAGTAGTAGTTGTGATTTTCCCTGTAGCTACTTCAGTTTCAGGACTTGATGCTATTGAAATGCGAACTGTGCCTTGTGGTATTATTGTAGGGGTAGTCGCTACTGTCTGTGATAATGTTATTCTAGTTGATGGAGCTGTAGTGGTTGGAATACATTGTATACTAATGTTTTCGAAAGGAGTAACACTCGGACACATTGAGATAATGGTCGAACTAGAGGTCATTTCTTTACCTGTATTAAAGTCATAATTATTGCGATTTAGATCGTCGTATTAGATTATTGAAGGTTAGTAATAACTTGTCCAACAATATAATATTTTATATCAAGCTGGAATATATAATACTACTTTACAGTATGCTGTATATGGAATTGCTCCATATATAACAGTGCAGTATAAAGGATTTCATTCAAGATATAAAAGGTCTAATCTTTCATTATGTCAGAAAGAAAAGATTAAAGAAAAACGATGCCTAGAAGAAATATTGCCTTATACTTATGTAGAAGTATTTATATTCCACGCTAGTACCTTTACTGTTTATTTGCAGACCCAAATGAAATACATTACTTCATCAAACTATTAAAAATGAATTTCATCCAAGGTGTTATTAGGTATAATTCCTCATTTTCTGTCCGACAATTAACTAGATCTATTTTCAATTCTATAATTCACTATTCTACTAGTGTTTCCTTCCAAATTATTCAGCTTACTCTACTCGAGAGTGAAATTGCTAAATTATAACTTAAGACAAATTACTAGACTGTCTATCTTCATTTTCATATCTAGTCATCAATGTGATCTATTTCCTGTTATATGCACTACTTCATTTGCTAGTTTATTCAACTTGATACATTCAAGGATAGATTGTCAAAATGGTATGCAATATAAAACAAAAGAGAGGTTGCTGATCTGAACTACTACGAGTAATTAATAATATTAATTTTAGAATCAGAGCCTAAATAGAAATAGATTTAAATTATGATTTACCTACTGGTCACGAAATATATTAAAGCGTATAACTGCAATTAATGAGTCTCAATAACTTACTTGGATTGATAATGAAATTAGTAGGAATTGTTAATGAAGATAGTGCTGTTATTAGTATAGGAGAAAATTGGTTTATTGAAGAGTGTTCCTCTAGATTTATCTGCATTGTAACACTTCTGTCCATATCAGCAGATGAAATAAATAAATTTAAGCTTGATAGAGCCTCTACAGAATTGACCATAGATGAAACTTGATCTTGATCTACATGTATTGAATATAAATACAGCAAAAAGTAGGCAATAAGCTGTAGAATTTATATTCGTATTTAATTATTTTTTAAATGGTAATTACAGCTCAAAGACTATTTTGAAATATTCATTTTTAAAGCTAATCCTGTAGAACAAGAGCTAGACTTACTCAAAGCAGTCGTAGTAACTGGCTTCTCGGTTAGTACTTGAAGTTGGTTTGATGGAACTGTTGATATTGAATAGTGTAGATTATTTCCTGAAGACATTTCATGATTAGAACCAATCATAGAGTTGGAAATCAAACTATTTGTTGTCATCTTGTCACCTATAAATAAAACCAAATTAATCAACAATCGGGAAATATAATACATGAAAGAATTAGAACGTCCTGGAAAGTATCGATTAAAATTAAGCGTGTTAAGTATAGTAATTCTAAATAGAACGATATCGGCTATTATGTGAACTTATTATACGCATTTTAGCGTTCAGAGACATTAGCGTATTCTAGATTACGCCTAAACCTTTAAGTTTCAGTTAGTACTTATAACAAATCTACAATCTGCTATAATGCTATACTTACTTGATTGTATCATTGACAGAAATACAGCTTCAGTATCACTTGTAATCACTTCAGCTACAGCAAATAATACATTATATGGAATGAATAAATAAGTTGAAGTATACCTGTATATTTTAAAATTTTAATCATAATTTTATCCGATTGTGACTATACAATGTGTATAAAGGATAATATCACTTACATGTTGTAGAAGCAGACAATGCAGGAGTAGCAGTAATAGAAATGTCTAGATTTGGACCTAGAGTTAATGCTGAATTGTAGAAAATGATATTGGGATATAATATGCTTTTATAACATGTTATAGCAGTGTGGATATTACAAGTTTGACCTATATTAATGTGATAACTATAGCAACTGTCGACCTATTGATGATAACCTTTATATTATAGAATTCAAGAGTATTAAATATTATCAATTAAAGGAGAATTTAAAGATTGCCTTACCGTTATTAGAAGATGCTAAGCCATTTGAAAATAGGATCGTTGATTCTGTTTGCACTTTGGTCCCTACTTTACGCAATTACAGATGTAGTATTTAATTCTAAATACGGTATAGTCTATTTTTAGTAAAAGTATTAGTTTTCACTAGGCTGTAGCATACGAGTAACTCTAAGACCGTAACATAACTCTAAATATGTATTGTCTATATTTAACAATTTACTCTGTGGAAATACCTTGTACTCTAGCTAAATTATACCGTAGCACTAGCTCAACACAGAAGTAACCTACTTTTATGAATCATTCACGCTTATAAATAATTTCCTCCTACTGTGCTCTTAAAATTATAAAAACTATTTTCTTTCGCCTATTTCATTGATTAGTTCTGGTAGTTACACGGTAAGCTTGCACGCTCTACCTATTCTACACTGCTATAATCATTCGACTGGTCACGTCGTTACTCGCTCAATAATCTTACACGATCATTCTCTTACACTAGCTCAATGAAGGTTACTCTTCCATTAACTATTCTATTGTACTTTATTACCACTAATGCCGAACTCTTAACCTTCCAAAATATCACACAGTACAGTTAACAAATTACGATATCCGTTCGATGAGAATTTTATAACAAGTCTACTGATTTAAGTAAATTATGAAAGTTATCTTAGTTGATTTGGTAGACGACGATGTAAATGATTGTGCTACTGAAGTAGACTGAAATTTTCTTTACGTTCTATTTTAACTTTTAAGTTCAAGCATTATACCTGGAATATATGATTCTGTTGTAATTAATTTTGTGATTGCTTGTTCTTCGTTACCAGTAGAAATAATTGTGTATGAATTAAAAGTAGAAGTAATCGCCATTGTCCTGTGATCAGAACTTAATTCTATAGATGAAGTTCCAATGGGATAATCAGTGAATTTTGACGATGTTGTCGGATTAATTTCTACTAGATCACTAGATGATTGGGCTAAATGAAAAGAAAACTTGAAATCATCAATTTTACTATCTAAAGCCCATACTTTAAGGTTGGCTTTAGGTAATGCCAAAACTATCTCTTTATTTATTATTTTACAATCTATGGAGGTAAGGACCAACCTGATGAAGTCAGGAAAGTTGAGGAAATGTAAATTTGTGTTGTTGTTGCAACTGCATCTGTTCATTCAAATCATAAAGAAAAAATATTTCATTCGTTAGCTATTAAGGTGTCACTTGCATAATTCTGTCGTAAAAAAATTGAGAAATATTGCAACTTATCTACGTATTTGTCAGTATGACAGCAAATTTGTGGAGTTGCTTAATAGTATTATTATCGTTTACTTGTAATATGACCCGGATTGCTGATCTACATCAGCTCCATTTTATTACCTTTTTGACATATATATCGATATGCTCGATTACATCGTCGATCATACCATTTCCAACGACCATTTTTATTCGAGAGAACGATACAAGGTCCTTCATGATTAGGTTCAGTAGCATACCAGTTACTATAATTTAGGTTCAGTAGTTGAGTATTATCTGCAATCCATTGGTAATGATCGCGATTATTATCATTAATAGGGTTAAATAACCCAATCCAATAATCACTCCACCATCTTAAGATAGAGGTTACTGCATTTTCTTTGCCTACTGTTTTAATGGAGACTAATTGGGCACTATAAGTATGACATTTATCTATAGCATCGTCATAGCTCTTAAAGTTATTGTATTTCCTAATACAAGTATTTTCATAAAGTTTCCACCCGCTAGGGCAAGAATAGCTGACAATATCTAAAAAATTTAATATAGAAATAGGATTAGTTACCGTCAAAAGATGAATATTATTAAAAGATCTGAGTTCGACTTAAGTATAGCACATCATTAGCTCACCTCGAGCTTGAAGAGATAGAATAAGAGAATTCAACTGGCACAGCTATATAGAATTAAAAATGATTCATTACAAATTTTACCTACTTTTTAATTTTATAATATAGACTAAAAGTGAATATTAAATTTTTATCTATAAATTTTTAATGGCCTTGAATATTTTCAAGAATTGATCCCAAGGTATCTAACAATATTCAGTACAGAACTTTGATGTAATATCGCATTGTAACAAATCAACAAATTGAAAGTATGCCAAGGCATTATTGCCGAAAATGAATTATCAATTTTAAATTCAACTTTTCAATTATACTACTTTGAAGTAGAACAGTCCCATATTAGTCAGTATTTTCATCACAAAGAAAATATAAAAGTTCCTATTTTAACTCGAGAGAGGGAGATAAGTCTATTGTCGGTAAATGCACAACAATATGCTCTTTAGATTAAGCTATTTTAATTATAGTGCAATATATATATATGGAAAGAGCAAATAGACTTATTATTCTGAAATTTCAGATATTTTGTTCTACATTGATGCTGATTTACGTTATACTCTCTCATATAAGCTAATAATATCACCTTTAAAAATGCTAAAGTATCCGCTGTAACTTAATGAAAGAGGAATGAGTCAACTCTCAATAAATGTCATAGCATGATATAGGGTAAAGCATACATAAATAAGTTATGATATATAACAGAAATTATACGAATTCAATAATCGAGAATACTATATAATTTAATACTCTATATAACCGAGGGGATCAGTATGGTATGATATTAACTCTTAAATTTATCGAGTTTTGATTCTAAATTGTACTTATGGATGTACAATTTTGTCTAATTAGTCTTTATCATCATATTAAAAAATATGGATTTGGTTAAAACTTGATCAAAGAATGGCTTTTAACTGCTACCATCATAATACACGGATTTGTTTAAATTAGGCACAAATTATAAATATAGTTTATCATTTAAATCAAGCTATTTCAATTGCTTTATAACACTGTATACTTACGATCATATTAAGTGTCGTGATCTATAAACACTTAATCTTAGGTGAATATCATATCGTAGCTAAAGTTAAGACGAATAGAAATTTATCTTCTGAAGCTCCTTTAAAAATTTTACGGTAACCAATTACTAAATTATGTATATAACTTGCGCCATAAATTTGTATTAATTTCACCATAGCGCTAAAAATGAGTATTACGATTTTGGATAATGACTGGAAATTCGAGACAAAAATTATACTAATTTTAAGAATCATGTACGTTTCAATAAAATGTAGAATCAATTTTTTATTTAAAAATAATCAGTCAATAAATGAGTCAATCGATCAAAATTAAGATATCGGCGATAACCAGTCATACTGCTATAGTAAAGTTCTCAGTTAGCAACGAATTGCTCTATTTGAAACGACTATCGATCACTAGAGGATTGTACCATTCTATATTTTGATTAGTTTCATAAGTTACATACCGATATGCTAGTAAAACGAAAAATACAGCGAACAATTTTAGCTTATTGACATAATAATTTCATTATTGGTAATAACTAATGAGATTATATACTGTAATCGGCATAGGACTACTTAATTTTAGCAATATACGAATACAATGAATAAACCAGATGTCGGATTTACATCTGGAATTATATTATTTAAAAAATNGTTGATTAATTTACTGGGATATT